ATCGTACCCAAGATCTAAGGATTGCGAGCGGGTTACCTCGCAATCGGCGCATGAAGCTAGGATTACGAGCGCAGATCTCTGGATCTTCGGCACGATTGTGAGCGCAGCCGCTCATAGTCCTACAAGATGTAGGATTGTGAGCAGCACTGCTCGCAATCGGAGGCATGTTGATAGGATTGTGAGCAGTCCTGCTCGCAATCCTAGACTTTGCTCGGATTGCGAGCGCGCTGGTAGTAGTCGTAGGCGTCACCAGTCACCTTGGGAGCAGAGCTGCTCTTAGTCCTAGAAGATGTAGGATTGCGAGCGCCGGCGCTCGCAATCGCACAGAGATGCTACGATTGCGAGGAGTGCTGCTCACAATCCTTCGACTTCTAGGATTGAGAGCGAGGCTGCTCTCAATCCTTCCGGTCTAGAAAAGAAGGTTCACCGTCAGTTTCCCGGATAGTGTTCGTCTTTTTTTGAGGGGCAGCTTCGAGGTCCCGAAGCCGAGAGAGCCCGCGTTCCTATCACGTTGGACGGCTTGCATGGAGCATGGAGCTCTGTTCCGGCACACAGGAAGAGCCGTGCTGCAAGAAGAGCTCGAAAGTGCTCACCCAGGTTTCGGAAGTCCGCCTTGTCGACAGAAGAGAGAGAGAGAGAGAGAGAGAGAGAGAAGCTCTGATCTGTGTGTAGCGGATCACCATGTTGGTCGCGCTCTGCGAGAGCACAACCGTGAGCCGCAGATGCTTGCTCGGACGCGGACCCGCCGTGCGAGTTGCAGACCCAGAGGTTGAAACAAAGCAAGGAAACAAAGCAAGGCGGACTATTGATTGGCCTGTATGTACTCTCGAGGTTCTCGAGGTGGATATCCTTTGGCCGCGTTGGGTAGCGAGGATTGGTGTAACCCGAGCCACGGAGGCATGTTTTCTGACGGCCGACCGTCAGTGCACGGAGTTGCCCCTTCTCCGACTGCCCCGGCTAGTTCCCGAGGTCGTCGGGAGTGACCCCTTCGCCGCCCGAGACCTAGCGCGGGTGGGTTGGAGGGGGGCTCGCTGCAGGGAAGGGCTGTGTAAGAAGCCGATCCCCGTAGTCCGCCCCGCTCCTCCCCGTCGGGCCGCGTGAGCGGCCACGCCTCGCAGATTCGTTTTCGCGCCTGGGTCAGGCGCGCGGGGCATCCCCCGGGTCGCTCGCTCGACCAGCGATCCGAAGAGTGGCCGCTATGCGAAGGAAAGAGCGGGGCCCTCGACGCCTCAGTCCGGCCCTCCGAGGGGGGAAGGGAATTGCGGGGTCCCCACGGGCGCCTCAGTTCGGCCCTCCCGAGGGGGGGAGGGGGGCGGGGGGGAGGGGTCTCGGGTTTCGTGTGGCTAATACTCTTGCCTTTCGGGGAGGGGCCTCGGTTCAAGCGCTCATCACAGGAGTGGGAGCTGCCTGACGTCTCCCCCCCCTCCCTCGAGGCAGCGAGTAGGCAGCGAGTAGTGAGGGTGGGGGGGCCTCGGTTGGAAGGCGCGCATGCAGCCCTACGTCTTCCCCTCCACCCTCGAGAGTACCTATACGCTAGACGAGCGAAGGGCGGTGGCCAGTGCGCGGGCGAGGGGAGGGGGCACGGGGGCGGCGGGCGGGCGGGCGGGGAGGAGGGGAGGGGAGGGGAGGCTTAGCCATGCAGCTGCTGTCGAGCCGAGGCGGCGGCAGCCGCCGCAGCTGCACCGCCTCCTCTGGTGCGCTACCCGTGTCCGGGTGGGTTGCACTGTCATGTCAGGCATGCTACATGGCCCCTGGAGACTGCCTTGCAGCTGGAGGCTGGCTGGGGACCCTACCTAAGCTCCACAGAAGGCCTGGAGGCTCTTCCCGGCCTGCCCCGAGAGACCGGCTAGGGGAGCCGTGCCGGCACCAACTTTAGCCGTGAATACATCCAGATCCCCCCATGAAACAAAGACCAAACTTCTCCCACATAGCCATTAGGACCCAGTAACTAAAATATGTTGGGCAGGGCAATTTGTTAATGGCAGAAAAAGAATGGTGAGGGTGGCACACTATGGCACACTAGGTGATTCACGGATATGCGTGTTGTACTATTATGAATCGCACAAAGATTCCCGTTTTCTCCCCTCACAGGATGCAGATGCAGAATGCAGAATGCAGAATCGGCCCCAAATAGGAAAGCTGTGAACTGCACCCGATGCAGGATGCAGATGCAGAATGCAGAATGCAGAAGCGGGCCCAAAAGAGCTAGATCACAGCGCTCCTGTGAGAGACGTGCAGGATGCAGGATGCAGAATGCGGAATGCAAAAACTCACCCACAGCCAGGAGAGAGCGGACAGAGTACCGATGCAGGATGCAGGTGCAGAATGCAAACACTCGCCCAATATAGGTAGGAGAGGCCAAAAAAAGGGTCGTACAGAATGCACAATGCAGGTGCGGAATACATAATCCCACCCGGCGGTGGGGCGCTGCCCCTCACTCATGCCCGCTCGGCCACCTCCGCCCGGACCTTCTCGAGCTCCGTGTCGCGCGCCGCCACCGTCCCTTTGAGCTCCGCCACCTGGTCGAGCGCGTCGCCGAGCAGCCCCTTGGCCACGCCCAAGTCGCGCAGCTGCTCCACGCCGCCGCTCGCCCGCACCTCGGCGGCGTGGTCGGCCACGTAGCGGCGGCACTGCGCGAGGAGCCGCCCGTCGCCCGTCGTGTGCGCCGCCTCGAGCAGCGGCACGGCGCTCGCCGGCCCGACGCTCTCCTGCAGCGCCTGCGCGCAGAGCAGCTCGAGGCGCGGCACCTGGTACATCTGCGCCAGCTCCCGCAGCACGAGCGCGCGCCGTGCCTGCTCGCCCTCCCCCTCGCCGAGGTCGAGCTGGTCGGTGCAGAGGTAGTCGATGAAGGCGGTGAAGCTGGCGAGGTCCGTCTTGGGCACCGTGATCTCGGCGGCGTCGCGCTCCTTCATGCCGATGCCAAACATCTTCCCATAGTACTCGGACCGCACGCAGAGCAGGTTCTTGCTCACGTGCTCGATGCGCTCCTCGTCGTCGCCGACCAGGAAGGTGACCAGGCCGGTGGGGAGGGTGGGGTCGCCCCGCGTCTTCTTCAGGTCTGCCACGAGGGTCGAGGGCGGCACCACAATCGGCGCAAAGGAGGGAGGCGGAGGAGGCGCAGACACGCAGACCTGGCGGAGAGCCGTCGCTCCCGACATCGCTCCCGTGCGGACCAGAAGAGTGCTGCCATCGGGGCTGAGGGCGACGCCAACTGGGCACGAGAACTGCGCCGCGCCGCCCATACCATCGGCGCTGCCCTTAGCGCCGCTGCCCGCGACAGTCGTCACCGCGCCCGTCGCCACCTCCACCCGCCGGATCTTGTTGTTCCAGTAGTCCGCCACAAACAGCGCGCTGCCGTCGGGGCTGAGGGCGACGCCAACTGGGCACGAGAACTGCGCCGCGCCGCCCATACCATCGGTGCTGCCCTGGGTGCCGCTGCCCGCGACAGTCGTCACCGCGCCCGTCGCCACCTCCACCCGCCGGATCTTGTGGTTGCTGAAGTCCGCCACAAACAGCGCTCCGCCGTCGGGGCTGATGGCGATGCTGGCTGCGCCGTTGAACTGCGCCGCGCCGCCCACGCCATCAACGCTGCCTTCGGCGCCGCTGCCCGCGACAGTCGTCACCGCGCCTGTCGCCACCTCCACCCGCAGGATCTTGTCGTGGTCCGCCAAAAACAACGCGCCGCCGTCGGGGCTGAGGGCAATACCGCGGCATTCCTCGCAGGTCGCGACGGTGCGGATGCGCCCGGCCGCCGACACATGCAGCAGCGAGCCCTCCTTAGTCGTGACGTACCAGCCGCCCGCGCGATCGCTTGCGACGGCACGCAGCTTTTGCGATGCCAGAGGGCCGTCCTTGCCCTCGAGCGCCAGCGTGGTGACCTGTCCGACGACGCGGGCGCCAAAGATGGGCGCCTCGAAGCCATCCGCGACCGGCACAGCCTCGCCCTCCTCCTCGCTTTCGCCGGCGGTGCGGGCGCGCTTGCGGGGGGCCATATGAGTCCCTGCGAAGGCGCCGTTGCAGGCGGGTTCGGTCCTAAGCATGTGCGGTATCCGAGCGGCATGCGAATGAGAACTTCAGAGTGCAGAGAAGTCCGATGTGAGCGATGTGTGAACACGACCCTGCCAAGCGCGCCCACACCACAAGCGTCATAAGGGCCGGAGTGGCAAGCTCAGTTACAATTGTTGCGCTCCGAAGCTGGGGGGTCCTAGTGAGTTCGACGCGGTCTCGCTCTTCTTTCTCCCTTTCATGTTATGATGTTAGGAAACAAAGGTCAAAGCAAGGCGGACTATTGATTGGCCTGTATATGTCCTCTCGATCGAGGTTCTCGAGGTGGATATCCTTTGGCCGCGTTGGGTAGCGAGGATTGGTGTAACCCGAGCCACGGAGGCATGTTTTCTGACGGCCGACCGTCAGAGCACGGACTTGCCCCTTCTCCGACGTGGCGTGGCAGACGGTGAACGAGCTAGCGTGCGGGGAGAGCGGCATTGTGCACGGTGCGGAATGCATTGCCGTTCTTAACGGAGTCGCTTAGGCGGCTCCGGCGGTGAGCCGGTGAGTGTGCCAGTCCGCGCCAGTCCGCGCCCTTGTCGTGCCAGTGTGCTGTGAGAGAGGCTTGTATTTTAAGAATTCTCCGACTGCCCCGGCTAGTTCCCGAGGTCGTCGGGAGTGACCCCTTCGCCGCCCGAGACCTAGCGCGGGTGGGTTGGAGGGGGGCTCGCTGCAGGGAAGGGCTGTGTAAGAAGCCGATCCCCGTAGTCCGCCCCGCTCCTCCCCATCGGGCCGCGTGAGCGGCCACGCCTCGCAGATTCGTTTTCGCGCCTGGGTCAGGCGCGCGGGGCATCCCCCGGGTCGCTCGACCAGCGATCCGAAGAGTGGCCGCTATGCGAAGGAAAGAGCGGGGCCCTCGACGCCTCAGTCCGGCCCTCCGAGGGGGGAAGGGAATTGCGGGGTCCCCACGGGCGCCTCAGTTCGGCCCTCCCGAGGGGGGGAGGGGAGCAAGGGGGTGGGGGGATGGGGGCGGCGGGGGGGAGGGGTCTCGGGTTTCGTGTGGATAATACTTGCCTTTCGGGGAGGGGCCTCGGTTCAAGCGCTCATCACAGGAGTGGGAGCTGCCTGACGTCTCCCCCCCCTCCCTCGAGGCAGCGAGTAGGCAGCGAGTAGTGAGGGTGGGGGGGCCTCGGTTGGAAGGCGCTCATGCAGCCCTACGTCTTCCCCTCCACCCTCGAGAGTACCTATACGCTAGACGAGCGAAGGGCGGTGGCCAGTGCGCGGGCGAGGGGAGGGGGCGGGGGGGCGGCGGGCGGGCGGGCGGGGAGGAGGGGAGGGGAGGGGAGGCTTAGCCATGCAGCTGCTGTCGAGCCGAGGCGGCGGCAGCCGCCGCAGCTGCACCGCCTCCCGAACCTCCCGTCGCGCCGCGGTCGCCGCTCCCTCAGCGCCGTCGCCGCGTCGTGCCCCGCCGCAGCCTCTCAGGAAGGGTCAGTGTGCACGTTTCAGGACTCCAGCCTCCGAGAGTACGGGCCGCGGTGCTACATGGAGGGCATCGCCGAGTGCGCCGGCCAGTGCCTCACCCACGCCTTCACAAGCCCGCGTACTACACCAACGGCCCGCACGCCAAGGGCTTCCCCTGGCGCCGCCGCCGGGCATGTCCGAGACACGCCCGTGCTGTTCTTGTAGGCGTGTGCTACGGCACCATGGCCCAGTGCACCGCCGGGATCGCCGCACAAAGCAATTGGATGTCGGTGACCGGCCACTACCCGCTGCTACAAGTATGACAGCGAGCGCGGCCGGTGCGCCAGCAAAAAGTGCAAGCCGCCGACACGCTTGCCGTTAACGCATTCATGACCCGCGTGTCCTTCCCACAGGTGCGTGCCGAAGGACGCGAAGCCGGCGCGTGGCTACTACAACACGCCGGACGATTGCGAGGCGTTTTGGCACACCCGGGGTCGCACTGCCCTCACCCTTGCCCCCTCCGCCGCCGCCCTCGCCCTCCCCGCCGCCCTCGTACGACCGCCACCACGGTCGGTACGATGGCTACCGTCACGGCCGTTACGACGACCGCCACCGGCACGGTCGGCGCGATCGAGACGACGACGGAGACGACTACGATCGAGACGACGATGACGGCGACGACTACTCGTACTAGTGCGATCGAGATAGAGCGTCCCACTCTTCGGCGAGAGGAGTTTGAGGGCGACTTAGTGCCCATGCCACAGGATCACCAGGTAGGCTCGGCGGTGGTTTTTCTTTTTCGCCGAGGCAGCATGTACATGGTCCGCCGCACGCCGCCTCCGCCGCCTCCCGAGGGCGTCGGCGACGTCCCCGCGAGCATTCGGAAGGCCGCCAAGGATGGCCAAGCGGGAGCGGTGCTGGTGTGGCTCGACGGCGGCGGGCGGATCGACGAGAGGTTCGAGTACACCTTTTCGGACGGCTCTTGCATGAGCGGCATGACGCTGCTGATGGTCGTGATGGCCAATGGCCACGAGGAGCTGGCCGAGGCGCTTCTGCGGCGCGGCGCAGACGTCTCGTTGCAGAAGAGCAACGGTGGCACCGCGCTGATTCTCGCCGCCGGGAATGGCCACGAGAACCTGGTCGAGCTGGCATTGCGGCACGGCGCGGAGGTCAACCAGCAAAGCAAGATTGGCAACACTGCGCTGATGGATGCCGCCTACAAAGGCCACGAGCGGGTGGTCGACACGCTGATCCGGCACGGCGCAGAGATCAACCTGCAGACCAGCAAGGGCGGCACCGCACTGATGCTCGCCGCCGTCAACGGCTGCCCCGCCGTGGTGCTCCGCTTGCTGCGGGCGGGCGCAGACATGACGCTGCGCTCTAGCGGCGGCAAGACGGCGCTGCAGATGGCCAAGGAGGAGGGCCACGCCGAGTGCGTCGAGGCCTTCAGGGCGTATCTCGGGGAGGTGGCGGGCCGGCGCGAGGCGCCGTCGGCCGAGGTGGACGGCGCAGGGGCGGGAGAGGCGCCCGCAGGCGAGGCGGAGGCGGGCGCCAGTGCTGCGGCCTCTGCTTTGAGCGGCGAGGGCGGCGCAGAGACCGCGCCGGGCAGCGAGGCGGTGCCAGAGGAGGTCGTGCTAGCGGCTGAGCGAGGCGAGGAGGCGGCGGTGCTGGCGTGGCTCGACGGCGGCGGGCGGATCGACGCGGCGTTCGAGTTCGTCTTTGATGACGGCCCTGTGAGCGGCGTGACGCTGCTGATGGTCGCAATGGGCTACGGCCACGCGGAGCTGGCCGAGGCGCTTCTGCGGCGCGGTGCAGACATCTCTTTGCAGAACGGCAACGGCGGCACCGCGCTGAGCCTCGCCGCCTCGAACGGCCGCGAGGAGATGGTTGAGCTGGCACTGCGGCACGGCGCGGAGGTCAACCAGCAAAGCAAGATTGGCAACACTGCGCTGATGCTGGCCGCCGATGAAGGCCACGAGCGGGCGGTCGACACGCTGATCCGGCACGGCGCGAAGATCGACATGCAAACCAGCAACGGCGGCACTGCCCTGATTCAGGCCGCCGCCTTCGGCTACCCCACCGTGGTGCGTCAGCTGCTGCGGGCGGGCGCAGACATGACGCTGTGCAATAGCAGCGGCAAGACTGCGCTGCAATGGGCCAAGGAGAAGGGCCAAACCGAGTGCGTGCGCGCCCTCGAGGAGCATGCGGCGGCCGAGAAGGCGGCCGAGAAGGCGGCGAAGGAGGCGGCGTGGGCTGCGGGGGCGGCGCAGAGGGCGGCGCAGAGGGCGGCGGAGGAGAAGGAGGCGGCGCGGCACGCCGACGAGCTGCTGGCGGAGGTCGAGGCGGAGAAGCGCGCCAAGGGCAAGAAGGGCAAGAAGAAGAAGAAGGGCGGAGGGGCGGGCGGGGCTGGGCCGTCGCAGGAGACGGAGGAGGGTGCCGAGGCGCCGTCGGAGGCAGCCACAGCCGAGGCTGCGAAGAAGGCCGAGGAGGAGAGAATGATCAGGCTTCTCGAGAAGTGTCACGAGGAGAGGATCCGGCTCGGCATCACGGCGGAGAGCCAGGCGGCGGCGTCGGCAGAGGTGGCTAAGGCGGCGCGCTTGGACGCTGAGGCGGACGAGGCGGAGGAGGAGGCGGAGGCGGACAAGGAGGAGGAGGAGGCGGCCGTGGCGGCGCTGGCGGCTGCCGAGGTGGCGCGTGCGGAGGCCAGGGCGGCGCGTGCGGAGGCCAGGGCGGCGCTGCGCCGGGCCGATTTGGCGCTCGAGGGGAGCGAGACCGCGCTCGAGGAGGCGGCTGCTGCTGCAGAGGCGAGGGGTGCCGCTGCGGCCGCTTCGATGGCCAGGGCAGTTGCAGCCAGGATGGCGGCGGATGCGGCCCAGGAGCGCCCCTGAGAGGTCACGGTGCGACTCTCGAAATGTCTTGTGTGCATCGATCTTGTGCGCGAGCGCGGCCTCAGCGCGGGCGCGGGTGGGGGGTCCCGGTCTTTTTTAGAGGTGGAAGTCTCCCTGGCCCACTGTGGAGTTTGTGTTTGAGGGCGACTTAGTGCCCATGCCACGGGCTCCCCCTCTTGAGAGGGGAGACTAGTTCCCTCAAGCCGCTCGCCTGCGTTTCGGAAAGCCGCTCGCTCGTGTACTGTACCGTGCGTATGCTTGGGTAGCGCAAGACGAAGAGAGAGCAGAGGTGAGAGAGCGTGTTCTCCGGGGCACTTGGAGCACTTTATGATGTAACTTATTCGGCCCCCCCCCTTCGCGGTTCTCGTTTTTCGTGCCAAACCAGCCGTTCTCGGGTCCGTTGGCCTCTTTCGTAGGGAAGAATTTTGATACCCGTCAAGAGACGCCTGCTGGGGGCAGCTTCGCGATGAAGCCGTTTGTTCCCCCAGCAAGGCACACACAAGACAGATAGGAGGCGAAAGGGGATGGTGGTGGGTTCGACGAGGAGAGAGGGAGCGCGCACAGACTGACGTCAGCTCTGCTCCTGAAGTACACCTCTGAAGGACACCTCCAGAGGTGTAGTGCACCTCTGAGGCACCTCAGAGGAAACGCTGCACTTCTTTTATCGATCTCGTCGCCAGACTCCGATTTCTCTCTGTGACGGGCCATGTGCCGGAAAGGCGCAGAGGGCGACTTTGAGTGCGCTTCAACTCTTCCTCCTCGTTCCCAAGTTCGACGAGGAGAGAGGGAGCGCGCACAGACTGACGTCAGCTCTGCTCCTGAAGTACACCTCTGAAGGACACCTCCAGAGGTGTAGTGCACCTCTGAGGCACCTCAGAGGAAACGCTGCACTTCTTTTATCGATCTCGTCGCCAGACTCCGATTTCTCTCTGTCGGGCCATGTGCCGCTCGCTCGTCCGCCCAAGTGACTTGGACGCGCGGTCGAGGGCACCCCACCGTTCCTGGGGCGCGCTGGCGCTCGCCAGCAATCGTCCCCCACCCATCCACCCTTTTGTCTTTGAGGCTGTCGCTCCGAGAAAACTTGTCTCGCAGCTGCGAGAAATTACCATCTTGGCCCGTCGTTCTCCGCTCGCGCCGGCCGCCCATGCGCTCGCGGGGCTGGCCGACGGCGCGGGCCTCTTGCCGATGGACCCAGCCGAGGTGCCCGACCAGTCGGAGTGGCGCTGACGCGCCGCGCGCGACCACCAGCCAGCTTTCCGGCCGGGCCGAGAACGGTGCCTCGAGAATGTAGACACTCTCCGGTCCTTCCGGAATTTTGTCGTTCTAGTTAGCACTGCTGCTGCAGACAGGGCCCGCGCGACCCCTTGCCCTTCCCGGATCCAGCTCGCTGAGGCTTGGCGCCACCCCGATGACCAGGGCCGAGGCCCGAATCTCAAAAACCGGGCATTCTGATATTTATCCTTATAGCTTATTTATTTATTTTATTTATTTATAATACAAGCCCCTCTCACAACAGACTGGCACGGACGAGGAATGTTGACATCCCCAGCTACTGTTAATTAATTAATAGCTAGCTAGTAGACTACACGTAGTAGTAGCAGGTAGGGGCAGTTTTCGAGGCAGTTAGTTTGGTGTTTGGGGAGAGCGAGAGTCCTCAGTTTGGTGCTTTTTGGTCACAGACAGGGCGCACCGGTCGCGTTGGAGCGGCTCCGCGCGGGGAGGTGGGTGGGTGTATGTAGGGTGGGCCGCTGGCACCATCCATGCCATCCCAGGGCCGGGTGCTTTTTGTGAGCCGAGTCGAGCCGAGTCGAGCCGAGTCGAACGGAGTGAGCCGATGGAGCTGCACGGAGCTGCCACCGCACCATCTAGCGGCTAAGACACAGAGTGTTGCTACCAGGGTAGAGTGTTGCAAGCGATCTATGAATTGAGGCGGCTGCGTGGGGCGCTCTCGTAAGAGCGCCCGCCCGCGCTGCCATAGGTTGCCCGCTGCGCTGCCAATCGTTTCGGGGTGCTGTCTCCAGGCCCGGCGAATCTTCACAGCGCGGCTGTGCTCCTTCGTCCACAGCCTCACGCTGACTCACCATGGCCGATCGCACGCAGCCATTGGTGCTGCACCACAAGAACCCGGTGCCGTCCTACGTGCCCAACACGTGGCGGTGCTCGATGCTGCACAATGCGTGCCTCACGCTGTCCACGCCGCAGCCGACGTGCTCCGCTCGATGCCGCAAGCGACCGTGGCGGCTGGACGTGTACGGGCCGAACGCGTCATCGCAGGTGCGCCAAGTCCTCGCCGAGCGCCGCTTCATGCGTGATCCCATCGAAAGCTTTAAGTTGCGCCCCCTCCAGCGCGACGTCCACAACATGAGCGCCGGAGCGGTGCCGCCGTCACCCATACTGCGTGGCGAGGCCGGAGGCCTCACGATGATCTGGCCCGTTTTTGAGCCTTCGTACGGCGACTTTTGGCGCGACACGATGCTGCCGCTCGGGCACCTGCTCTCGTTGGGACGGCTGCCGCACCGACTCGGCTTTTCGGGGCTGCCGACCGGCTCGGGCGCGCTGGCGAGGACTAATGCGGTGGAGGGGCTCGAGCGGATACGCAGCGTGTGCACCTTTGAGCGGACGTCGCCTCGCACATTGCGGTGCGAGGACGCGTGCTACGAGAGCGTGCGGCTGTGCGAGATCCTCCCGCACAGCTCGTTGCGCGGAAGTGCCGCGTGGCTCGCCATGGCGTCTCTCGACGCCGCGCTCGGCTTCAAGGTGCCGCAGCTCAAAACGAGCGCCGTCTCGGCCGAGCCGGGCGTGCTGCGTGTGCTGCTCGCGGCACGGTTCCCCTAGATGCTGAATGCAGATCCCTGCACTCAAAACTGGCACTCTGCATACGCTGCACGATACAGTGGCAGATCCCTGCACTCAAACTGGCACTCTGCATACGCTGCACGATACAGTGGCAGATCCCTGCACTCAAACTGGCACTCTGCATACGCTGCACGATACACCGGCCCACGGCACGGGCAGGAGCATCTCGTACGGCGGCCACGTCGCAGTGGGTGTGTGCGACGCCGCCGACGGCAGTCGACAGCGGAAGAGAGAAAGCTGACAGCGAGATGCGAGAGAGTGACCACATGTCAATCAGTGCCAACGGAGTACGGCTTTGTTGCATTCCAACTTGCTATATCGTATGTCTACATTATAGTACTATGCTTGGCCTTCGACACCGCTTGAGCACCCCCTGAGCCCCTGTCACCTGGTCGCCTGGTTGCTGGCCCCGCCTGCTGGTCGCCTCGTCGCCCCTCGTTGCGCCTGGTCGCTCCTGCCACGTGCCAGACGCGGGTTGCCACGAGAGTGTCACATCGGCGAGCGTCCTTTGGGCGAGAGTCCTTTATGTGGCGAGCGTCCTTGGTGGCCAGCTTCCTTTGGGCAAAGGACGAAGTCAGTCCGGTTAGGCGCCAAAGATGAACGAAGCCAGCCACCTTTTCTTCTTTTTTTGAGCTAGCGAGCAACGAACATCTCGGTCGATCTCCTCACATCGTCACTCTGTCGGCACCCACCTCCACTGCACTCGCGGCGCGCGCGAGGGAGGTCTCCCCCTAGGTTCGCCACATACGTCCTCTACGGCTGCACCACAGGGTACCGAGGCTCCACCCCCCCATTTGCCGCCTTTGATTTCCCTCCCAAACCAGCGCGATCTCGGCCCGCCGTTCTCCGCTCGCGCCGGCCGCCCATGCGCTCGCCGGGGGGCTGCCCGACGGGGCGGGCCTCGTGCTGATGGACCCAGCCGAGGTGCCCGACCAGTCGGAGCCGCGCCGACGCGCCGCGCGCGACCACCAGCCAGCTTTCCGGCCGGGACGAGAACGGTGCGTCGAGAAAGCTGACACTCAAAACAGCTGCCGAGTTTTTTGCCTCTTTTTGAGCGCTGCTGCTGCACACCCAGCCCACCAGTGATACTAGAAGCACCAGGGCAAACAACGCGAGGAAGAAGCCTCTGAACCATCTGAGCAGGCGAGCAGCCACCGGCCGCAGGTCCGGCCAGCGGTACAGTGCGCCAAGTGCGGACAGGGCGAGCACGACGACTGTGGCGTCTGCCATGCGGGTGCGAGGGCCAGCAGGGAAAGAAGAATTTTACAACGAACTCGCACAACACTGGGCACACGGGACTGGCGCGCACTGGCACTAACACAGGAAAGAAGAATTTTACAACAAAAGGCTGGACGACTTTGGCGCGCGCGGCTTGCGCTGGCCGACCACGTCGTGGCGCTTGCGCTCGACGGGAGCGGCCTCGAACTTTGAGGCGGCGCCACGCGAGGCCTTGGCAGCCGCCTTTAGCGAGCGTGCTCCGCGGCGCGCGGGCGGCGCGGGGCGCCATGCGACGCACGTAGCCAACCAACAAGCCGTCAGGAAAAAAAATATGAACCGATACGGCGAGCCGTCCTCCCATCCCTCCCTGGGGTTGTCTGATAAGACGTGGTCAATCCGGTATCAAAGCAGACCAATCTAGGCATGCATGCAAGCTACACAATCAGCTCTCCCACGGCTACACATCATCGATGGCATCGTCGAGTGGTGCGGCCAAGCGACTCCTTTCTCATCGACTTATTCATCCGCACCAGCCTTCAGCAGCAGTGCCTTTACCTCTGTGTGGCCTTCCTTGGCGGCAGCAAGCAGCGGCGTTTCCGAGAAGAGCATACCAAGGCCGCCCGTGTTGGGAGTGTTCGGGTTGGCGCCCGCCTTCAGCAGCTCCGCCACCACCTCTGCGTGGCCTTCAGCGGCGGCAGCACGCAGCGGCGTGAACGAGGCGCGCATGCCGAGGCCAAGCGTGGAGGGAGTGCTTGGGTTGACACCCGCCTTCAGCAGTGCCGCCACCACCTCTGTGTGGCCTTTCGCGGCAGCAGCATGCAGCGGCGTAGCCGAGGCGAGCATGCCGAGGCCAAACGTGAGGGGAGTGCTCGGGTTGGCGCCCGCCTTCAGAAGCGCCGCCACCACCTCTGTGTGGCCATTCTCGG